AAAAAAAAAAAAAAGAGTTTGAGCGTCAAGGTTTGTCAAGTTGCAAGGCATAAAGGGCACATGTGATAAGCTCACTTGGTCCATGTGGAAAAAAATCTAAATTTTGAGAAAATTAGGTTCATAATTACTGGATTTCTGACTTCGTCATTTTTCATTCACCATTGCACAAACACCAAGTACAAGATATATAGGTGAGTAAGAAAAAAGTATTTGCTCTCAAATAGTGCCACTATCCTAGAGATAAACACTGCAACCTGTAACAAAAATAAGAGGCATGAGGTAATATGTTATTTTATTCTCAGTATTAGTACATGGCACATGTGACTTTAACTAATATTTCTAAATTACCTCTTTTCTCTGTTTTTCCAAACACTTTATCTTGTGTTCAAGAGAGTTTGTCAAGTTCTTTCTTGTTGATGATTGAGCACACTTAAAAAAAAAAAAAGGAGCAGACTGAAACAAAACTGTCTACAATATAAATAGGAGAAATACTGTTCTTCACAAACCTCGTGCATTTGACCAAGTCTCATATTGTGATTTATAAATATGTCTGATTCTAGCAATAACAGTCCTTACACTGTAGGTCTTGTACAATAACTTGTTGGTGAATCAGATTCATATTATATTTCAGACTCCTTTATATGAACTAGTTACTGAAATAACTCTAATAAATTATAAGTGTATCTGTATACTGCAATGGGCAAGTCAGAGATTGGAATTTTATGAATTTGGATTTAAATCTTTTTCCAAAAAAATGACTATTCAGGGTATAATGGTTTATAGGAATCAGGTAAGTTTCATGGATACACTTTAGGTATTTACATAGCAAACATTTCTAAAAAGTCATTTTTGTAGCTGTGTTCGTGAACATGTATATGAGTAAGAGTCTGAAGAGCAACCTTGGCAAAGTCAGAGGAGTGATAGAACTATCAAGAATAATGAACAACATGTACAGCTAAAATGCAGCAAATTGATTCAAAACTACGACAAGTTAACTAGTTCAGTGACCATGATACAAGTATGTTATAAAGGTGGGCATCAATTGTCTGGTACTGTGTAATTTTAGCTACCTCCTTGAATAAAGCCACTAGATTATGATAGATTATTGCCATAATGAAAAAGTTAGCCACTCCTTTCTTTTCAGGTATTTTTTTTAGAGGTGGGAGTTTTCATTTAAAGAAAGCACAAAGGCTCCGGAAACTGTCTGTCATCAGCCTAAATTGATCACCAGCAAAACTTTACTTGAGAACCTGTTCCTCTATAGTAACTCAACAGTCTTATTACCATCTCACTCTGAGTCATTTAAGTAATACAATTAATTGAGTGATGAGGGTAGTCTCTAAATCTGCATTCAGTTTCAGGCTCAATAAGTTACTGTAGACCACAAAATTACTTAAAGATATTCATGAGCAATTAAGAAATATTTTTCAAAACATGTTGGTCTTTGCCAGAAATGTTTACAGGAAATAGCTCTTTTGCAATCATCCTGGGATTTCAAGGACTTTTTTTCATTAGAAGTGATTATTATAAAACTGTATTTTCTATCTTTGCTCACTTATGTTTCAGCATTTTAGGGTCTGACAATGTTTTACATCTGTATAAATGCTACTCTTTATTTCTCTAGCTTCTTTCTATTTAGACGTGTGCTATAATGAAGACCACATTTAAAGAGACAGTTTTCTGTGGGTCAGTAAATTCCAAATGATTATACTTGCTCTTGACCTCAAGAAGCTGGTCTGGCTAAGCCCCAAGAGTGACATCAAAACCCAGGTGTCAAGTGTGTTGGGCCCTGTAATTGAACCTACTCTTTTTTTGGGGAAGACTTCTAAGAAACTGGAACCACTCTGAATTAGAACAAACTAAACATTAACATCTTTGATTTGGAAACTGCTGTCAGCTAGCCCTACTTAGTGTGCCCTGAGCTCAGCAAAGCACAGGTGCAGTAAGATCAGGTGTAGAACAGGAGTTCTCACCACAAGAGTGCATCAAACATAGAGTTAACTAAACATAGAGCATCCTCAACTGTGGACAAGGATTTCTGGAGGGGGAGCTGGGGTCCTTCTATTTTCAATACATTTCCTAGGTAATGCTGATTCATACTAAGCTTCAAGATCCTTCCATTCTAGACCATGCCTGGAAACATAAATTTTGGATCCCCAAAAAAGGCTCCTCTCTATTTGTGATGTAGACAAAAGTCTATGACTGGCAAACATTTCCATGTCCCTGTCTTCTTGGAATCCAGATGTGGAACAATAAGACAATGTGCCTTTTGTTTCCCCCTTAATTAATTTCCTGTGGAAGAAAATTGTAAAACATTTGACCCTTGATTTTTGTTTTATAAATAAGAATTACTGAAAAGCTAGACACAAAATCTGTAAGAGAATCTATTCATAGCTGCAAGAGTACTAATTTTTGAAATTCAGAATGTTTAGTTAAAACCAGAGGAGGATAAAGGGGAGAATAGAAAGCACAGCGAATAGGAATGGCTGTAAGCCCCAAATGCATCAGCAAGGGTTTCTCCGGAGTTTAGTCAACATTTCCCATGGCTCCATGCTCTCAGATGTGTATTAAAATGAAGCAAAATCAATCAAATACAAAGGTTGGGGAAGGGAACTTTTCATTTGTGTTTTCTCTGTTTTCTAGTTGCTAATGAAGGCATCTGATGCTGAAAAACTACAAAGATTTTTAGTCATTGGTTCTAGAAAAGACCTGTTTATAATATAAATTATTCCCTATATATAATTTCCTATAATTATTCCTTGTGAATATAATCTGTGTTCAAAGTATCTGGAGATTTCTTTCTCTACCATAATTTTCATAACAATTTCTAGTATATTCAAGGTCTAACACTACTAAATAAATACCTATACAAGAACAAGAGTTCCATTTAGTTTTTCTTTGTATCTTAGTTAGCTTTTGAAAAACAAACAAAAAAACTTTAAGTACTTTAATTAATTCATTCAATTACAGTAATTGAACAAAAACTATACCAAGTGTAAATATATGAAAAATGTTACTGTAGGTGCTCTGTTGCTATACTATGTTCTGTTTCTAGCCACACTAAAATAGTATTCTTTTTAGATTTAATATTGAGTCAAATTCTTCTAAATCAAGGGCAAAATATAGAAACCACAGAATAGGGAGATAAAAGGAATTTGGACAGATTTAATCCTCTCATTTTATTAAGGAAGAAATGTAACCCAAAGGGGCTAAAGGCAATGCACTGGTTATTAAGATATTTTTTTCTGTGTTAAATAACATTGGTTAAAAATACAGAGCAAATCTTAGCTAAGGAAAGCAAACTAGCCATTTATACTCTTTCAAAACTATTGCTCAATTAACTGCTAGAAATGCGATTGATGCTAGATATGGTCAATTCATTCCCTAGAAATGTGGTCTTACCTCTGTATGCTCCGTAGAACTTTCTCCAGCACTCATTTTCAATGGGCTCTGCACAGAATGTGCCAAGGAAACTGTTTTTCCTGAAGTCTTGGAGGGCAGAAAAAAATAAAACAGAGAGAGAGAGAGAGAGAGAGAGAGAGAGAGGTTTTTACATTGTCTTTTAAAGAGCAAATATACAAAATTTTTAAAAACACACACCACAGTTAACTCATATTAGAAAATAACAGCAATAGGCTTTCCTTAGAAATGAACAGAAGTGACTCTGGGTGTGAAGTATCCAGAATAAAGCTCTAAGCACAGTAACTGTGATTTTAACTTTTCTTCTCTTCCAGATAGGGATTTCCCAGGATGTCTCAAATAGACAGGCAGTGACTAAGACTTGGGGCAGATTAGGCTGGCTATGGTATGTAAATTGTCATCCTTCCTTTACTGGCAGTTTCTCCCACTGGAGGAGGAAGTTAGATTGCCACAGAAAGCCTGGGCAATCCAAGTCTTTTCCTCAGTAGCCTAACTGCTATAAATTCATTGTATTTCCCAGAGCAATTAGGTAACTGTTGACTGTTGACTGACAGCTCAGTTACTTGTTTCCTTAAGGGCAAGATTTTCTGGCAATGCATTCTAAATGTGATTTTAGCTTTGTAGAACTTAATGAGTCATACATAATTCTATAAGTGCTACTAATTCTTATGAAACTAAAAGAGAAAATAATTCCTTGCAAGGAAAAATGAGCACTGCTTGCCAATTTACTCTTCTGTACTGGCAGAAAGGAAAGGTTAACCTTGGTTCTCAAGTTTAAGTCTGACTTTCACATAGGTCAAGTCCAGATTTTCTCCATGACTCATTTGAAGTTAAATCCGTTTTTTGTTTGTTTGTTTTGCACTAACATTTTAGCTTTTATTAGTTGACGCCTATCATTACATAGGGCCTTGAGGTAATGGGGCACTAATAGGTAGTGCAAATAAAAGTGTGGAAATGACAGTTGGGGCTGCACAAATGGACCGTAATGAAGTGGAAGACCTCATTCTAAATGTGGAGAAGAGGGAGCAAAAAAGACGCAAGGAATAAAGAAAGGAAAAATTGTATAGCTGAAAAGAGAAGAGAAAGAATTTACAATCAGTCACTTAACTTCACATTTTCATTAGACCTGCCTATGAGATACCCGCATATATGTAGGATAAGGTTTAAAACTCCTAAAACTCTTTAAATTCTTCATATTCTTTAAAGGGGAATGATTTAAGCTGGACAACATAGTGAGACTTTGTCTCTACAAAAAATTAAAAAATTAGTGGGTGTTGTGGCGTATGCCTGTAATCCCAGCTACTCAGAAGGCTGAGGTGGAACTCAGAAGTTTGAGGCTGCAGTGAGCTGTGATCCCTCCACTGCACTCCAGCCTGGTTGACAGAACAAGACCTTGTCTCTTAAAACATAAAATTAAAAAAAGAGAGAATAATTATGTGTCCAAGATATAGCCCTCTTTTCTCTCCTTAATCTCTTCTCCTTCTTCCCAACCGTTCTCTGTACTCTAGCCATTCTGAAGGACTTCCATTTCCTGGAACTAATCCTGCTGTCTAACCCCCTGCTCCTTATTGTGTTATCTAGCTACCTCAAATGTCTCCTCTCTAGGTCTTCCCTCCAACCTGGTGACTTGAACTTTCTCTTGCCCAGGTTAGTTAATGCCTGTCTTCCCTCTGACTTTCTCTTGACCTCCTCTAACCAGCCAAGAAGAGTACTTCACCAAGGATTACAATTATGTATTATGTGTTCCTGTGTTCATCTCTGTATTTACAGTATTCTGAACTGAACTACCTGGCAAATACCAGAAAAATACAATTTTTCTGAATAAATGAATAACTATATAATTATACACCTAATTTATGGACTCTTTGTTAGTTGTGTGTGTGTGTGTGTGTGTGTGTGTGTGTGTGTGTTTACTTTCTGCTGGTTTCTTGGTCTGTTTTGGGAACACACTTGAGTGAAAAGAGTGATGTTGCCTTAAGGCTAAATCCAAAAATACAGGTGGAAAACAAATGATTCATTCAGAGTTTAAAAGTAAAAGTTATAACTCACATAGGATCTGACTTTAGGGGATAGAAACTGCAATTTCCTGGAGACTGACACTTTATCAACACTAAAATCTGCTCTCCAGAAAAGAAAAAAAAAAACTCTAACATAAAAATATTTTTCTTCAGAAACACACACACACACAATACACACACACACACAACCATAGCTATATATAATTTAGGATTCCCTTTCAGACTTACCTTTGTATTTGGTAGTACTAGTCCAGTGGATGTGGTAACATGGACCTAGAAAAGTGGTTTGAAAGAACGTTTTCTTGCCAGGAAATACTATCCTTGACATTGCTGTCTCTTGGGTCTCCCCATATAGTATCCCGATGCACACACAGTGTTAGGTGTGATGGCTTCTATTACATGGAAATCCTATACCTCTGCATTTTTCATTATGCCTTTGCCTCTTCTGCTATGCAGATGAGCAACAAAAGGATTTTCTACGAGCTCAAGAGAGCCAAGTGATTATGAATAAATAATAACTTTTCCAAAGAACCCCAAGTTTGGTTTGAGGAAAAAGCAAAATTTTAGTAGGCTATTCTTAGTAGTGAATTGGATATTTTCTGTCCCACATGCCCTGTTCGTGTCACCTCTGGCTCTGTCATGTTTTGAATCTGGCTTTTAGTCAAACTTTGTTTCATGAGAAGTCTCACTAACTGAAATCAGAATTCAGAGAAACAGGTATCACACCATGTTTCCAAGGCTATTTTGAAGAGTCCTTATTTCTGAAGTAACTAAAATATTATATAAAGCTAAAAATTAACACATAGAAATATGATAAAGGAACAAGGAACTGCCAGTCTCTGGTCTGACACCACCATTCTAGTTGACAATAATGATCTCAAAATGAGTCCAAGAGGAGAGCATCACATTTCTACAAATTCTTTGAGGAATTCTTTGGCAGGTAAAATAAACATGGCTTTTTCCCTTATTACCTTCTTTGCTTCCTGAATCCATTTGCATACATGTTTAAGTGAATGTGCTATCTGGGTAGGAGAGAGCAGATCTAGTGGTGACTGAAAGATCTGACTCTGGAGTTCAAGCATCTGGTCTCCCACCTCAGCTCTACCACTCACAATTTGTGACTTTGGTTATCTAAGCATCTAAGATGCTTAAGGTCCCTAAAGCTCAACTTCCACATTTATACAATGGAATAGTAATGGTGTCCTCTTCCCAGTGCTGCTGTCTGCAATAATAAAAATGAGAACTTGGATAATAATAATAATAATAATGATAATAACAACAATAATTTGGTCTTAAAGATAGGGTCATCAATAAAATTATTTGTGGGCCAGGTGTACTGGCTCATGTCTGCAATCCTAGTACTTTGGGAGGCTGAGGTGGGAAGATCGCTCGAGGCCAGGGGTTCAGGACCAGCCTGAGCAACACAGCAAGACCCCATCTCTGCAAGAAATGCAAACATTATCTGGGCACAGTGGTGCCTGTAGTCTCAGTTACTTGGGTGGTTGAAGTGGGAGTATTGCTTGAGCCCAGGAGTTTGAGGCTGCAGTAAGCAATGATCGTATCACTGTAGACAAGTCTAGGTGACAGAGCTAGATTCTGTCTCTAAAAAAAGAAAAATATTTGTGGAACAAATAATATGACAAAAGGAAAGGGCCATCCATAGTTTATGCATCACTCACTCTGCACTTGGCACTGAGTGGGTTCCAAAGAAAGGTAAGTAAAGGCCCTTGCTTACAATGAAAGAAATGTACACACACACACACACACACACACACACACACACACACACACACACACACACGTGTATGAAAAACTAAAGTGAATGAAAGCCAGGCAAGTAGTAGAGACAATAAAGCCTATAAGAATTCAGAGGAGAGTGCTCATTTTCAGCTTTAACAGTTATGGAAGGAGTTGGAGTTTCCTCTGGGACGTGAAGGGTAGATAGGATTTTGATAGACGGTGTAAGCTGAGATATAGTGTTGTAAAGGGAGCAACTTAATAAACAAAACAGAGATGGACAAACCTAAGCATGAAGGGTTCTAGCAAGCCCAGTTTAACTAGCGCAGGCTTCACATGGTGTATCTAAAGTTGATTTGGATGAAATTGTGAACGGTTTGAATTATAGATTAAGGAATTTTGACCTTATATCAAGGCCATGGGGAGCTGCTTGAGCAAAGGAATTACATGAGCAGAGTGTTTTTTTAGTAAAGATAAACTTTAGTACATTATATATTAAATAGGAGTGATTGACAACTGCAATCCCAGTTAATAGATATTAGCAAAAGTAATATTCAAAATATTTAACAGCGGATGGCAATCGATATATTTAACAATCAGTTTCTCAGAGGCACTAGGAATGGACCACACCCCTGAACTCCAGACTCCTATACTAATTGCCTACTTGACATCTCTACTTGAGTGCATAATTGTTACCTCCTTCTTCACCTGTCTAATTAAGAAAAACGATTTTCTGGTCTTCCCCACAAAACTTGTCTTCTCCATCAAAATTAGTGACAACTTTCATTCTCCTGACCAAAAGTCTTAGCGTCGTCCCTCTCACAGCTGGTATCCAATCTATCTGAACATATTGCAGGCTCTCCAGGAGTGTATCCAGAGGTAGAGCAGCACATTGTCACAGAGTCTGGAGGCTTCGGATTTTCATGAGTGAGTGGTAAGGTGAAATGGACATGCCTTTTTATAACCTTTGCAAATTGAGGACTTGAATGTCTGCTCTCTTATTTTATTCATAGGAACATTATTAAGAGTGTGTCCAGTAGGGACTGTTCCCTGGCCAAGTATCAAAATCCTAGTACCCTCACTTGCTAGTTATGTGACCTTGGGCAAGATGCTTGGCACCTTTGGATTGACACCAAGCCACCATCATCTCTTAGCTGGCTTACTGCAATAACCAATGGGTTTTCCGACTTCCATTCCTGCTCTTACCTCCTCCATGCCTCCCCCCTCTAAATTGTCAATACATTAGCTACTGAGAGGCTTTAAAAATGTCTTTTCATGTTACTCTTGTGCTCAGAACCTCTCAGTGGCTTCCTG